TTCACCGAAAGGCATTGTTTAAATTCATTTTTATTAGCGATTATCGTTACTTTTATGGATTGGCATGGCTATTGACTACATCCGGTTTTCATAGGAAAAATTATAAACTAGGTTGAACTTATTAGGGGAGAACTTATCAAAAAAAACCAACTTGCCTTGAGAAAAATGAATACATTTCGTCTTGTTTCAAGTTTTTTCGTTCACAAATGCGGAAAGCGAGGTAAAAACTTCGCCCGCACATTTCTTCCCTAAAGAATGGTTCCGAAACAATTTTAGGAAAATTTACATTCACTTTTCCCAAGTTTCAACGTCTCAATGTTTCGTAACAATTGATTCTTTACTTCATTTTTCATTTAACTTTGTCAAAGGTGAATGCTTTAACAGGCCTTAATCAATGTTACTTTCGCTGTCCGAACTGTAAATCAAAGTAATTTCTCAACATTAAGCGTTCGTCACTTTTAATTCAGACAAAAAATGTATCCAATAAATTCTTGAGCTACTTTAAAATGGCATTCACTCAATTTCTCTGGCCGATATCGATAGCCCAAAGAGTGAATTCCAAGTATTATTTCGCAAGCATACGCATAGTAAGTAAACGATTGATTATGGTAATAAAAGTTCTAATGATCTCAAAGACTTTTACAAAAAACGACGAATTCTTAACGCATTCTTGCGAATACTTCGGAAACAATATTAATTATCGGTATTTACAATGAAATGTCTTCATTTTTGATGTGATGTGTAATCATTTTAAAATCATTGTCAGAGATTTCTTCGGAAGAATGTTCCGTGCATTCCATCTTAACAAGAGCAAAAATTTAATATACATATAGACAGACCGTCCGATAGATAAAAGACGTTGAATCAGCATTATTATTTACTGACGGAATAATAATCCGTTTCGGTAAGACAAATGCCGCTAATTTAGGCATCAAATATTATCGATGCAAAAGGTTCAGGTCGGGCGTACAAACAAAAGACGAAACGAATAAGATTTGAAGGGTGCAGACATGCAGGCGTTTAAAAAATATGATGCTAATAAAGTAAACAAATTTTTGCTTTAGACACAAACAATGCGAGGGGAGAGAGGAAAGAAGATGGGAGTAATTGGGGAATGGAAAAGACGCAATGCGTTGTGCATTATATTTTTCAATATTTTCACTCCATTTACCTTGTCACAAGTGATTTTATGTAACGATGACGACGACGCATTATGCGTTATGCTAACTTTTTCACTTTTGCTATTTTCATTTCTCTTTGTGCATGTTTCGAACCCTTATTATTTACGATTCATTCAGAATTTTAGTGACGGAAAAACTACGAGCGAAACGGTTTTTTTTGTTTTACTTTTGCCATCGAAAATATGACATCCGGCTTGAATGAAAGGAATTGAACCGATGGCAATTCATAAAAGTGAATAGATTAGCTACATGTTGTTGAAAGTAATCAGCTGATGATTTGGTTTTACGTCTTTCGCATGCATTGCGTAATAAAAGTCTTCCGATGACATTGTACGCTTAAAGTATTTGCCATAAAAACCAACTGTGTAACCCTATGCGATCGCACACATTTTTTGTAATTAAGTAAAAAGCATTTTGATATATTTTTTTTCTGCACACAACCGGCCATTTTTGCAATCATATTACGTCGCATCGACAAGTCCATAAGCTCGGAATCAATCATTGTCATTGGATGCAAAAAAAAACCATATTGCGAACTACTACACTCACTGTCGCTTTCGTTTGATTACACTTGTTCGCGTCAGCCGGCATTCAAGAGACTTGTCGATACGTACAGCAACGAGTGTACTTGCTGTTACATTCAATGTGAATTCATTAAGTAATTTACGATGCTTGTTTATGTCAGATCGTCATAAATCCCTTTATTGACAACCGATCAATAATTTCATTTTCGGTTTCTTTATGTATTTCAAAAATTCAATAACACTTTTCACTTTATCAAATGGGTGTGACATTTGTTCAAACAACTGAATTAACTTGGTTTTACACGAAACAGCACCTCGTTCATCAATACGTTCGCATTTTAAATTTATCGTTGCGGACATTTCGTTGCGGATTTTCTGAAGATCTAAACCATCAAAGATGAAATTTACTTCGAACCCGAAAAGAAAGGAATACACCGTTGCAGTTACTAAAATCAGAGAATGACTCGATAAAAGCGAACGAACGTATATATCCAATTTAGTTAACTCAATGACGAAAGTCAAAGTATTTTTCGGCATTTGGCTCGATACGGTGCGCATTGCAGCATTCGACATGACAACACACATAAAATTCTATTTGAATTGTAAATTAAAATGTATCACCGACGGAAATCTTTCCTCTCTACTTGCAACATTGATGAGATCGTACGCGCAAAGAATTCGATTATCTCATGCATAGATAGCAGTATGTTTGCTGAAGAGGTGTGCAAATGAACTTCGATAATATGCATTTGTATATCGCAATGTTTCACCTCATAACGAACGATGAGAATGAACTTCAGTCGCCCTATCACTTTTCAAAATCCATTCCGAATTTTTGCTCGCCTTTTTTTAAATTCTCGTCTACACACGTTCCGACGAGGAGCGCTTCTAATCAGTAAATTAAATCGGCATTAAATTGCTTATCCGGTGTGTTTTCATTCTCTTATTTGCTATGTCATTGCAATCGAAGACGAAGACGACGACAAAGACGACATTCGAACCTTCGAACCTCGATTGCAAAGTGAAAATTAAGTAGTCGAATTGAATTCTTACCTTCGTTTTAGATAAATTCCGATAACATTCGATTGAATCACACCATTTGTTTACTTGTTCCACACGGCCAAATCAAGAATTAAAAGGCATGCAACTGTTTTCCCTTTTAGCTTTGTGTGTGTCGACACATTCTGATATTAGATTTTTGCAGACAGATTACAGTCGCGTTAAACGTTTTTTATGGGTCTTGTTTCTTTCTTTCAATGACATTTAAGTGCACATGTACGATTTGGTGCGTTCTTCGTTTTTTTACTTTTCCGCACACACCTAGTGTGTAAGGTGCAGTATTGGAATCGGTCTAAAAATTAACACCCATCAAAAACATGTTTTCTGGGTGTTTTAGGAGCCAGGGAACACGAATCTAGCGTTTTTTCGATGTCCGAATGTATGTGCGTGGTACCCTGTACCCTGTACGCAAAAATTTGTTAACACGATAACTTTCAAACAAGAAAAGTAATTCAAAATCTGACTTTACAGGATGATTGGGGGTGCCGAGGAATCTAGGGGGAAACCGCGCTTTTGAATATTGCACATAAAGAAGAGATTTTAACTTTTTTAGCGCATTTGAATAGATATAAGTACAAAATGTCAATTTTTAACAAATATGTGAGATATTGTGAGATATTGTGATCTAATAATTGTTCTGGAAGTGGGCTTTGGTGGATCCTCAGGATTATTAGACCGCTCCCAGTTCTGGAAGTGGGTTTTGGTGGATCCTCAGGATGGACCAGACTATGGTTTGACAATGCCCTGGCCCATCCTGAAGGTCCACTTCCAGAACTGGGAGCATTCTCATGATCCTGAGGATCCACCAAAGCCCACTTCCAGAAATTAGGATATGATTGAATACTTACAGATATTGTCAGATATGGTCGGATATTAAAATTTTTATGAGATTTTAAGAATAAAGTTAAATTTTGGTACATAAATACGCGCGGAATCCCCCTAGCGAGGAATAGAAACCATTAGATTTTGAGCGACTTTGGTTGACAGAGTAAAGTGTCATGTCTGGTGTGATGCCCATGGCCATCCATGGGAAAAATTCATATTTTCTTCCAAAGGTGATATTTAATGTATACTTAAACACTCAAAAATGTGTATCGGGGGGTTTTTGGGTACGAGAAAACCAAATATGACGTTAGTTCTGCGATACAAATAACTTTCGACACACTTTTCATACAAAAATGTCAAAAAAATTGAATTTATGTGTGGAAGCCATGCCTGTATGATATCGTAATAAGCTTAAACTTTGCACAGGTTATTTTTATCACACAAAAATGCCATTCTGAGAGTTTGAAGACATTTCAATGCATATTAGGGGTACCTACCGAACAAAATTTTGAATTTTCACATGATTACGATATCATATAGGCATGGCTGCGATGGGCTGCGATACAAAAATTCACATTTCTAGAAGTATTTGTATGAAAAGTGCTTCGAAAATTATTTGTATCGTAAAACTAATGTCAGATTCAGTTTTCTCGTGAATTCTTTGAGTAAAAGATTTGTAATAAATGCATGTTATGGATCACAGTGCGGAAAAGTTCATCTTACGGATGTAAAACATTTTATTTCTTCGTAAAATAAGTGATTATCGGCGGACATAAATTTTGGAGCCAGACAACAGCGAATGGAGGGATATTCAAAAAGTATTTTATATGGTGGAATGTAAACATTTCTTCAAACTGATGTAAGAGGATAAGGAAGTTTTAAAACGACGCTTTTTTTCTTTTCAGATGACTTTATTTGAGTAAATTTACATTAACGTTTTCCACTACTGAACTATTTCGATTTGTTTAACTACATTGCACTGCGCAAATAAACTTGGTGTTTTTATCACGATGAATGAGAAATGCGTAGAACAATATAGCATTTTATTAATATTGAACAAAAAAGAAAAAAACGGTTAGCTTTCGTGCAAAATGATGTCATCGATTTTGACATCAATAAAATTATTGTTTTGCAATCGAAATGATACATGACGAAAAAATAGTACATTGAATATGCACGATGAACAGAATATTAAATGTAGATGATTCTGGAAACATTAAAATGAATGAGTAAGAAAAATATGTTTTTGATCTCAAGGAATTGAATATTCATTTTATACTCGATATATGCAAATCAAGACGAACAAGAGAATTCTCTTCTGTTATAATACGAATATAATATCATAATTTTTTATATTCTCCAAAATTCGAAGTTCAAATTGACTATGGATTAGATGAAAAATCCTCATTTTTCATACATGACCGTTTCAAAAACCACTATAAATATCGTGGGTTTTAAGACGATTGTTAAGTCTGAACTAAGTTCCAGAGCAAAAATGAAGTTCTTAATCCAAGCCTTTTTCGCAGTCGCGGTGTTCGTTAGTGGTGTAAGTATTCAGATAATGATTTGTTTAATAAAATTCACCAAAATAAATGTTCAATTTTTCTTTTTCGCATCAAGTACCATTGCAATATATGTGGACCGAGCAAAGAGACGTTGCTTGTCCCTGAAGTTACTTCCATTTTCAAGCCAGCAAAAGCCTATACAATCCATACAGATAACTTGGTCTACGTGTTCAATCAATTCAAATCATCGGTTGATGGTGTTAAAAAACAACTTCGGGGACTTCAGCGAGATGATAGTGCCGGCCAAATTTTGAAACTGCTATCGAGTAGCATGATTCAATTCGATATGTGGGTTGAAGATTTGGTTGAACTCGAACGTTCCAATAAAAACTATGTATCGGGAGTTACACAATCCTACAAAAAATTCATGAGCGACAATAAAGACAAAATCAAGCACTTCCAAACGATTCAAATGAGTGAATTGACCAAAAATATTAGAGAAGATGAGAACGCAGCAACCAAACAACGTGATGAAATGGATCTTGCCGGAAATGAATTGCGCGAAGGTAATGTGCTAGTACATAAGGTTCGGTAAACACCAAAATGTGTACTAACTTCGTTTATTTTTTTTTCTTCAGAAATGGCCAAACGCAAGATTCAAGTCGATCAAATTCAAGTCAATCTCCGGAATGGAAAAACTTCTGCACCTGCTTTGAGAGAGATTTTGAATGAAATCAAACCGAAATTCTCATCTTTGGCCGGCGCAATGCTTAGTATTGCACAAAAACTCAAAGAATTGGACACAAACAAAGATAAATTGCGATTTGCTGAAAAAGCTTTAAAATACAACTAAATTTATTCTGTATGATATGTTGAATGAATGACCTTTTCTTCCAAAATGGAAAAATTAAAAGGACAATGTATTCTACTTCGAATTGTTAGCACAGAATAACACTTGCATAACTTTATGTCTAAGAAATGTTCAATAAAATGACAATGAATAAATATTGGAGTGGCAAAAGCTGAATTTAGTATTTTTTTCAATTTCATTTTAAAAACCGATTGGAACGATTGCCCAAAATGGTGTATTAGCATTTGGGTTCCCTCCCCATAAAAATTTTTAAGTAGCTCAAAGGGTAAAAAATACACATTCATTTTTTCTCTTTAACTCCTACTAGGAGTCTCCTAGTAAAGCATAGGGCCTCATAGATAGGGATTCTTATCTTCCAGTTTTTGTTAATCAGTAACATAATACAAAAGTTGAGAAAATAAATTCTTTAGTTTAAAGTTTAAACATTTTATAATATATCAGAGATCGTTTCTCAAAGCATTAAATGTGAGGAGATGTAGAGCTCCTCGTGAATGAGAAACAAAATATTAAATGTTACAAGAAAATATCTAAAATCATAATATTATCAATTTTCATTATATTTTAAACTTTTAATATTTTGCTCCTTAGCGAAAAGGAGCTGTGATTCTCTGCTCTTAAAAATGATAGGCCGGAGGATCCTCTTCATATTTATTGATCTGAGAAACAGTTTCTGGAATATATGTACTCGGACCACGAATTCATTTAAATTTGCAAATGCATTTGCTAGATCATTACACAACATTGCGTTGATAATATTTAAAAGTGAATATTTTTTAAAGGTTACAGCGAATTTCGGCTCGAATCCGCACGTCGACCAATTTTTACGGTCGGGCAAGCCTCCGGATCTCAGGCCGAAAGATATAAAGCCAAAAGAAGAAGTAAAAATTTAAATTAACAATAAAATTTCATTCAATTCTATCTTTATTTTAAAATTCTTTATTCTTATTCAAGAAAATCTGAAGTTGAATAAAATTTTGTTATTTATTATAAATTTATATTTTTACTTTTTTCAACCAAATTCCGAGTCCAAATGATACCGGCTACTTCTTGTCGGGACTCGGTCGAACATCGGTCGGGCGTCAAGATCGGGAGTCCGTTGAAAACTTACCATATCAATAACACCGAGCGTAAAAATGTTTTGGTTCGAAGAATTACGCACATGTTAAGCAAATCCTTTTGAATATGTATGGACTTTGTGAACATCAAGGTTTAAGTTTGAACAAAACAAAAACATGTTTTTGTTTTTGAAGATCAAAAACTTATTTAATTCAATATTCTCTTTATATGTAAATCAACACGCGCGATGAACTTTGTTTACATCAAAATATAATAATGTAATAAAATTATTATACGATGTTATTATAGTCTATAATTGTTTTCAATTGATTATGAAATGTTTTACTTTATTTTCATGCATATTAATCATTTTGAATCGCTATAAGTATCGATTGATCTGTGGCGATAATAAGTCTGAACTTAGTTTCCAAGCAAAATGAAGTTTTTAATCCAAGTTTTTGTCGCAATTGCGTTTTTTATTAGTGGTGTAAGTTTCCAATTAAAAATCTTTTTAATTTGATTAACCAATATCAATATTTGAAATTACTACTTTGTTCTAGTATTATTTCCTAGTATCGATTTTTCTTTTTTGAACTCTTAACATTCGAATCATTGAATTTGTCGATTATTTAGCAACGATTAATAATAACCTCTATTTTTTGCAAATAGTACCACTGCAATCTATGCGGTCCTGATGGAGAAACACTGGTTGTTCCAAATGTCGATACCATTTTCAAGTCTCCTCAAACTTACACAATTCAACCGAATAATTTAGTTGTCGTTTTCAATCAATACAAATCGACATTTGATGGCGTAAAAAAAATATTGAACGCCATAAAACTAGATGACAATGCAAGGCGAATTCTTATGCTATTCAAGGCCAGCACAATTCAATTCGACATTTGGACAGAAGATATTTCCAAACTAGACGAGTCCAATAGAAATTATGTCTCGAAAATTTATCAAACGTATAAAAATTTCATGAGAGATTATAAGGAAAAAATCGAGCTTTTCGACCACAATCAAATGAGTGAATTGGGAAAAAATTTACGTGAAGATGAAATTGCCGCAACGAACCAACTGAATTATATAGACAAAGTCGCAAATAAAATACACGAAGAAATGGCAAAGCGTAAAACTCAAATGGAACAAATCGGAGTTCATATTAAACATGGAAAGCCTTCGGCGCCTGCTCTGCATCAAATTCTAAACGAAATAAAATCAAAATTCTCATTTGTCTCTGGCACTATGCTTGATATTGAACAAAACATCGCACAACTTCAAATTAAACGAAATAATTTGCGAAAAATCGAGAAAAATTTAAAATTAAACATTTCATTATATTACCTGTTGTCTGGCATTATGCGAAGAACTAAAGCTGAACTGGAACATCTCTAAAATTGATATCGAATCGAGGGGGAAATCACTCAAGAACCTACTTTTACAACTAAATTACAATTACATTTTTCCAAAAAAAAAATCTTGATTTGCAATTGCTTTTTTATGAAAAGTAATAATTTGGAGAAAAATTGACGAAATTATTTCCCATTTAAAAGTAATTTCAAACTTAAAACTAATTTTTGAAAAAAGTACTGGAAAAAGTATTTTTTTGGAGCGATTTTCTCCTCGTATCACGCAGATTGCTTTATAAAATGAATTACATTAACATAAAAGAAAAACGCTGGAACATTTCAATTTATTTTCACTTTTGACACAAATGTTCAATAAAAATAAATAAACAGCAAATATGGTAAAATAAAAAGTTTCGAAAACATAAACATGTGAAGTTTAATTTTTTTTTATTTCGAACTGAATATATTGAAAATAGTTACAATATAAATAGTTATTTGATATACTGTGTATTATTTCGGAATTCTACAAACTTTGGCTTTTGCGATATCAATCTTTTTTTTTCTCAACTCCAAACCACTTCTTTAAACACAAGGTTGATAGAAACCATTTCTTAACAACTTCGACGTTTAAAAATGGTGTTTCTAATTCTAGTTGTCATCAATTGTATTTGAGTAACTAAATAAATGTTTGCTAAATATCCCAGTATGCATGAACAGTAAGCTGGGTAATCAAATGTTGAAAACAATGCAAATGTTCATTATATAGTTTGAATTTCTTCTTGACAAATTTTCGTTTGAATGCCATGTCAGCGACCGGTTTCAATATTTTGTTTATATAAACGATGTTCATCTTCGAGGGCCAGATAAATGAAGTTTTCTCTAAACAATTACAATCCAAATTAATTACACCCATAAAGAAATATGTCGATGTCGACTGTTACAGTTCCATCCACAAATTTATATCTACAATTGAATTAATTAATAGTTTTTAACTTGACCAAATAATAATGTATATTTTTCTAACTGATAAATGTTCGAACTGATGTTTTTTGGAAAGTTCATTACTATGTATGTTCGTCCTTAATCAACTCTCAAATACAACTTAACTAAATTAACATACTGTCTCCATTCAGTTTATGGACTTTGGAACCATTAGAAAGATGTGAAAAATTAGCAGATTTGTCTCAAACCCACTCATACAAAGAATAAAAACGAGAAGCAAAACTAGCATATGCTATTAAATTGTATGATAAAGCAGGAAGTTGTTAATACATAATAAGTAAATAAATAGTTGTAGCTAAATAAAATTAATGCTTATTTCACAAAATGAAAATGTATCAAATAGCTATTTCGTCTCATTTCAAATGAAGAGTCAGCTCAATATAACGTCTGTGTTTTATTGGTGCCAATATTGAAAAAAACATGGAAAAAACCATTTCGAATGGAATGTAGAAGTGTTTACCAGGTGTATTAATTTCTTAATATAAGTGACGCTAATGCCAATTTTTTTTTATCGTCGTTACTAATATATAAGTGAGTAATTCCTTGTTAATGTTTCACAGTATATTTGAATTTCTTTGACAAAATGAAGCTTTTGCTCTGTGTTTTTCTTTTACCATTTGCCCTTGTTGTAAGTACAAAATTAAGATTTTTTTTTAATTTTGGATACATAAAATTTTTTTCACACAAAATAGAACAATTTGGCTCATGGATCTGAAAATGATAAAGAAGAAAATAAGTTCGTGGTGCGGTCACTGGTTGACGATATAAAGAAATTTGAAACTGACATAAAAAGTGTGGAGACTATATTGAATAGTCTTAGCGAAGGCGACAAACGAAAATGGCAAGGATTCATTAGTCTCAATTTGCTCCAGGAGAACTTGAAAGAGTTTCAAACAACAAGAACACAAATTGCACAATTGAATCGATCCTATAAAGCCTATTTCGACGCAATTGTTCAAATTTTTATCAAATTCAAAAATGACAACGCAAACGAGATAAAAAAGCGAAACAAAGCCGACGCACTCCAAAAGTTGCTTAATTGGAACATGAAACGTTTTCAAAGAGATATGACTACAAAAGCAATGATGAATGTTAAAGTTCACAAGGAATTGGAAAGCCGAAGAAACTATGCAGCAAAACTAGCGGAAAGCTTGAAGAGCAATTTTAGCATGAAGGCGATTGCAGGGTTGGGTAAAAATGATTTGGTCATTGAAAATGGGCTCGTTCCTCAGATCCGAAACATTTTAATAGGACTGAAAGAAAATGCGAAAAAAGCAGTTCAAGCGCAAAATGATTTTGCCGAACATTTGAAACGAATTTTAAATCAACCATAATGAAATAATTTATGTCAAATGTGAATCGGAATATTCAATAAATATAACGTGAATGAAGGTTTACTTTTTATTTTAATTTCCAAACTTGTATTTAAAATTCGGTATAGAGAAATGGAGTCATCTTTATTGTTTTTGCCAAAAATATTTCTTTTAAAAAAAACATCACGAGAAAGACGTCAATACACCGTTGCAGCATTGCAAATGCCCCAAAAAACCGAATGCTCGGAATCGGAATTGAATATATATTCAATTGCATGAACGTCAATATGATTACTTCCCAGAAAAAAATTTGTTTACTTCCAGTGTTATACGTCATATACTCAAATGCGTTTGGCTAGTATAAATATCAGTTGTTCAGAGACGATCTGTAGTTTGAATAAAGTTTTCACACAAAATGTTGTTCATAATAAAACCCTACTTCGTCGCTGCATATTTGATTGTTGCTGTAAGTATTTCACTTCAATGTACATTTTTCTTTAATGAAAATTTTGTTTCTTATTTTCAATCAAGCTTAATCAATTTTGTTCGAGTTCCGCTCCACTTATTCCTGATGTCAGTAAATTGTTTCATCCTCCTTCTTACTATGCGATACATACTGAAAGTATGGTTAATGACTTTCATTCATTTAAATCAGCAATTATTGGCGTGAATCAATCGCTGGCTAAAGTAATTGAGGACGAATATGCATTTGAAATTTCTTGCTTGCTCAAGAATACTTTAACTGAATTTGAGATTTGGGTAGACAACGTTGTGTTGCTTAACGAATCAAATCAAAATTATACGATTGAAATTGTAAAAGCCGATAAAAAATTTATGAATGATCATAATAAGGTGATAAAAAAATTTAACCGTGATCAAATCATCAAATTGGAAAAAATTCTTCAGGGACATGCACATGTCGCATTCAAACAACGCGAAGATTTGGAACATATTACCAAACTATTGTATGTTGAAATGGTTCATCGTAAAGTTTATGTACATCAAATAGAGGACTTTTTCAAAACCTTTTCGTTTCGATCGTTGTCGAAATCTAGTTCGAAATCGTCGTATTTTACGCAATCATCATCTTATTCTCGATCATCATCTTTTGCATCATCTTCTGCATTATCCAATTCGCGATCTTCGTCTGGTGCTCGAGTTCCATCTACCCCGCCATCTCCAACATCACCACCATCTCCATTGAAACAATTGTTAGAAAATGTAAAGCTAGCATTTTCACATGATACGGAGAGAATGAAAGAAATATCGCGTGATATAAATGAATGTGTTAAAGTGAAAGGTAAAAATTATGCTGAGGAATTGAATGTATTGCTACAGAAACATTGAAATTACAATAAGGACATGAGCTTGATATGGATAATTTTGTATTTTTGAACAATTGTTTTGAACATAGTTCAGTGTGTACTTAATATTATTTTGTCATTGTAATAATTTATTATTGACGTCAATATAGCCATATGTGCGTCAATTCGAAACAAACCCCGAGAATTTCGACAAGTGAATTATTTTACGATGTATGTTTAAATTATGTGAATAAATTATTACATTTTTTTTCATATATTGCAAATTTTATTTTTGTTTATAAAATCATTATATTTTCATAGTCATTGTAATGTTCTGTATCAATCGAATTCAAAATGGAACACTTTAAAGACATTCAACTAGAATGAATTCTTCACACAATTTTGGTAGATTTTATATAAAATCAACCAACAACGAATTAAATTTACCATTTTTGACATCTCTGAGGCATATTTTTCAAAAGTGACTATTTGTTGAATAAGTTTTACCAACTTTTCGAGACCACAAATGACGCCAGCTCATGATTTTGGTGAATGTAATGAAGCAATGAATAAATATTTTTTATTTAAAAAATGTCATTAGACAATTGTCTATTGCAATAGACTAGGAATAACTTCATTTATAATCAGCTAAGAATATTTGCTGGGAACGTCCGATTCCTCACTATGAAGAGCTCCCCACTTTGGTTCGTAACGAGCGATCAATGTCAGTGATGGAATTTTCTTCTTTAAAAAAATCTTAATAAGAGGGATTAAGCCAGATAACTATCGCGCATGCCTGATAATAATAATTCGATAAACATTATCCTTCACCCTTCATAAATCATTTACTAATAGATTAATTAAAATCTAGATTTCAATAAGAAACTATTTTCAATAGTAAAAAAACTGTGTCAACATTTAAAACCCAAGAGTTGAAATTACAAAAAATATTCGAAATAATATTATTTATTTTCTGTATTCATATACGCAATAAGATGTTTTCAATTTCAATTTACTTGCGAGCAACGGGATGGAAATTGAGAAAAAAGGCAGATCTTTTCGGATGACGAATCTATGAAATAATGGAATTATTCATTGAACATCAATATTCAACTTCAAATATGTGAAAAATCCACATTTTAATTCATTTTTTGATTGATATTGTTGTATATAAGTACAGTGTGCATTTCAATATTTCGAGCCTAAGATAAAACTTTTTTGACAAAATGGAGCTTTTGATCAGCATTCTGTTTGCGGCAACAATATTTACGTTTGGTGTAAGTAGAAACCGATAAATGAAACATCATTTTGAAAAACAAAAACTTAACAATAACCAAAATGTGTGTTTCAATTAACAGAACGATTGGGCATTTGCTGTAAGTGATAAAGAGCTGTTGAATATAAAACTGGATCAAGATTATAAAAAATTTGAAACTCAAGTTAATAACGTAATAAAAAATTTGAAAAATCTTAATGCAAACGATAAACGATTCAACAGCGTACTGGTCGCCGTTGATTTGCTTAAGAATAATTTGTTTGAATTTTACGTATTGTGTAAAGAAAAAATGCCACACGCGAGCCAAAATAATGAAGTTTATCAATTATCGGTTCATCAAGCTTATTTACAATTTCAAAAGGACCACGAAAAAGAAATGAAACAAAAACCAAAAAGATCGATGGAAGAAAATCTCAAACTGTACTATAGCTTCTTCAGAAAATATCGTCTTGTTATATCCCAAATTTTGGTGGATTTGCACAATGAGTTAGAAAAACGCACTGATTTTGCATCAAAACTAGCAGTCAGCTTAAAAACAAAAAAGGATCTGGAGGCAATCGCTGAGAAGGCCAGTGATGCACTAATATTGGAACGTGGAACTATGTTTGCAACTCGTCATCAAATCAACAATCTCATCAATATACCGGAACGAATCGCCACAATTCTAGAAGATTTTTTGACACAATTAAAAAACACAGCATCCGAAGGTTATACATTGGCAACAGCATGGAACTTGTAAAGAAAAATATATTTTAAATTGTCAATAAAACATATTTACACATAAACATTACACTATATTGTTAGTCACTTCTTTAACATTGTTTTCGAGATCTTTTATGAATTTTGCGTGCTTTGCTTTTAACTCATAGCAGGTATTAATTACATTGGTGCAATTAATTGTCAGTAAGCACAGCTAATAAGCACAGCTAATTTTCATTATAATTTGAATTCTTGAGTTTATATTTTTGCTTCATATTATTTAGTTATACCCATACAATGTTGCTAGCCTAGCTATTTATATCAGCTATTGCTATAGCGATATAAAAATAGCTGCTATTTAACGTATCTCTTCGCTCGGACGCTGTGTATACTCGACATAACAATGATGTCATTGTTTGAAATGTTTAATATTTTAAATCATTTTCGAACCAAGAAGTTCTATGGCAATGACAATTCGAAATGGACTTTGTTAGAAGACAACGATCTAAAACACAATATTCGTCTCTGCTCCGCTTGGAAAGAGGAAAATGACATTAAATAAATGGACTGGCCGCCACAGTCACCCGATTGCAATCCGATCGAAAATGTTTGTGCTATTATTAAAGCAAGGCTTCGTGGTAAAACACACAGCAATTTGAAGCAGCTCAGTTCATTCATTCAACGCCAGTAGAAAAGTTTTCAACGTAAATATGCAAAAATTTGAGCAAAAGTATGCCAAATAGATGTGCCCGTGACACCAAATAAAACATCAATAAAAAATGTATCTCAACATCGTGTGTTTCATTTAATATTTTCCACATTATAGAAAAAAAACGCACTGTAACTTATACCGTATTGTTAATATATCCAAATATTTAGCCACGTAGCTGACAGTTTCTCGAATTGTAGTGAAATTTATGCGTTGTGGAATAAACAAGTAACGAAAAATTTGAATGGAATTTTCCTTCTTAGATAGACGGTATAAATATCGATCATCTAAACGCGGATAAATTATTTTGAAGAGAGTTTCCAATCAAAATGCAGCTTTTTATCCAAATAATTTTCGCAGTTGCGGTTCTTATCGGAGGTGTAAGTTTTATTTGAGAACTATTTACTTATTTGATATTCAAGAAATAATAATTTTGTTGATTTCAAAAATGTAGTACCAATGTGCGCCCACTGCCACCAAATCACCTAATTTGGAAAGTGTTTTTGAGGGGTTCAAAACATCAATCGAGCATGTTAAAAAATCACTGAATTTATGTGGACGTGGAAAAAAAGCAGAGCTTCTTCCGATTCCGAAAGTTGATAAGATTTTCAAGACTTTCTCAGTCTACGCCATGAATCCTGATAAATTGGTGGATGAATTTAATACATATAAATCATCAATCGACGGTGTGAAAAAGCCACTTGAAGCCCTGAATGATGACAAGCGAGCATCACAAATTTCAGGCTTGATCGACAGTGATTTGCTACAGTTTGACATTTGGACAAATGATATCGTCAAACTTAATAAAGAAAATCAAAACTACGCTTCTCGAATTGCAGCAATCAATAAAAAAATGATTGTGAATAATATGCAAATTATCGAAAGCTTTAACTACACTATGATGACCAAACTAGAAAATATTCTACAAACAGACGAAAAAGCCGCAACTAAACAGCGTGATGATTTGGAGAAGGTGGCTACTTCAATACGATATGAGATGGCCAAACATAAGATTCACGTGGATGAAATTTCCGAAAACTTGAAGAAAGGGGTGGCATTGCAAAACATATTTGACGGTGTTAAATCGGCATTTTCACTTGAAACCGAGAAAATGAAGGAAATAAGCGATCACATTAAATCATGTGATGCAGTTAAAAATCGTTTGATGAAAAAAATCGAAAAATTACTGAAAAGTCGATTTTTTTGTAATTGAAGAGGATTCAAAAATGATATAAACTTATAGCACTTATTTCCTAACATTTGATTGTTATCAAGTGTAAGTGAAAAAAATCAATATTTTGAACATTATTCATATAATTGTATTGAAACATTTTTAAAGAAAAATAAATGACTTCATTTATAAATATGATGATTAAACAATATAAATTAATAATTTTTTTATTTATCTAATAATTTCATGAGTAAAATTATGAAGAGTTCATGTTATTGACTTCGAAAGTAATTTACCCTTGAAAAGGGTGGAAAACAATATTCTCTTTAATAAAACACACACACTGTGTTCAGATAATAAAAGCTTGAGAATTGAAAAATATTCTGAAATGTTTTTGAGCAGATGATACCTCAATGCATAATTAATCTTCTTAAAACGATGACTAAGACGAACATTGTAAAAAAATTATCATGCAAAATATTTTGAAATGACAAAAAGGTTGTATGTGTGTCTACTTTCAAATCCATATGCCACCTAGTATGACACACATTCATTATATGCGATTTTAACTTTGAAGTAAATAGATAATGTAAAATATAAAATAAAATATACATTAAAATTCAAAAATAAATGTTTTTTACATCGTATAATTTATAGATCTTTTCAATATAAAAGTACATTGAATACTTCAAAAAAACCACAACATGAAATTATTCGACAACTGACAAGATGACATTTTCGATCGCTATTATATTTGGATTGGCGATCTTTGCCTTTGGCGTAAGTGAAAGATATTACCAATTGATTGCCCGAGAATGAAAGTATGCTGACAGTCAGCACTTTTTGTATGCCGGTGTTACATTTCAATAAGTTGTGAATAGAAGTCTCGCTTTCATTCTCGGACATTCATTTCTAAACTTATGTAAATTGACTGTTTCTAAGTTCAAAACTTTGGTCAAAATCAATAAACTATAATATACACTTCATTAACAGAATAATAGGGCACTGGGTGGCATTGAGAATGAAACAGGAAGATCTCAAGTTCCCGCCATAAAATTGGGGGAAGATTTGAGTAAGTTTGAAGCTGAAATAAACAAATTCAATATCATTTTGAATAATCTTAAAGAAGGTAACAAACGTAAATGGCAAGGATTTATAAGTTTTAATTTGCTCGAAGATAACTTGAAAGAGTTTCGAGCAACAAAAACAAAAATTTCGCTTTTAAAAAGAACTCATAGAACCTATCAAGATTCGATTAATGGGGTTTATGACAAATTCATAAAAGACCATGCGAAAGAGATAAAACAAAGAAAAAAAGCCGAATTGTTAAAAGGTACTCGAAATTTGTATTCAAAACGCTTTCTGAGGGATTGTTTGGTCATATCCATAATAAATATAAAAACGCACAAGGAATTAGAAGATCGAACTGCTTACGCAACAGAACTGACAGGTATCCTAAAGAATAATGTAGACATGAAAGCCATCATTGCATTGGGCAAAAACATATTGGCCATAGATAGTGGAAATGTGCCAGCAATTCGCAATCATCTGGCCACTTTGAAAGGATTATCACAACAAGTGGCTAAAATGCAAAATGAATTCGAAGGAACCTTACAGGAATTGCTAGATAAAAAGTAACAAGCGAAGAGCCGCAAATAATAACATCTTCAGTAACTGTGTAGATAGTACATCTGTTTTGCCGATGATAAACTTATTTACAAAATTGGATATTCACATTAATTGAAGTAAAAAATGTCAAGTTAACGCACCTAATAAACCTAATTCTCGTTATAATTTGAATTCTTGACTTTATATTTCGGTTTTTTTTCGATATTTTTTTTTCATAAAATCGTTGCCATGTGCGCAAGTAATGTGTGTATGTGGCAGTCTTTCAAATCGATGGATTATCGAGTAAACACGTAGCGGAGAATGTAGATGGAATTTTTAAAGTAGGACTTAGATAGACTATAAATATCGATCATTGTGATCGGAGTAAATTATTCTGAAGAAAGTTTTCGATCGAAATGCTGTTTTTTATCCAAATAATTTTCGCCGTTACGATTCTGACCAAAGGTGTAAGTTTTTGCCTGAAACTAATTCAGTTTTGAACACTGAAAATATTACAGATACTAATGCATTTTTTTTATTTTTTTAAAATTTAGTACCAATGTGCTGGTTGCTTTGGATCTGAAGCCGACGATTTTTTTGATGTTAGCTCCCTTTTCTACCCGATCCCGAGCTATAACATTAAGGCACATAACTTGGAAAGTGTTTTTGTAGGATTTAAAACATCAATCGTAAATGTAATTAAATCTCTCGATGGCGAAAAAACCGAGACTAATGCTGCACATTTATTGATTTTACTCCATTCAAATTTACATGAATTTTCGATTTGGGTGAGCAATATTCTAAATATGCAGAACACAATAACTGAGTTCGTGAATGGCACTATCAGCGAAGATAAAAAGTTTATATCAGACAACCTGAAAATTTTAAAAAAGTTGAAAATGAACAAAATAACAGAATTGGGAAATATTTTTCAAAAGCATGCATCGGCTATGATCAAACACCATAATGATATAAACAAAAATATCGGCTTATTGGCCAGAGAAATGACCCATCGTAAGATAATTGTTAATATGATTACTGATCATATTACAAAAAATGGCATACTTCCGGAATCACTGAAGGCAATTTTTGATACTGTGAAACCAAAACTATTCCAAGCCACTACTAATATGGTCGAAATAAACCAATCGATGTCAGAGTGTATTGCTCTTAAAAATGGAATTAAACCAACTGTAGAGTTGAACAATTTCCTAAAAACGGCCCTTTTAAGTGGAACAAAATCAAGCAAAAATCTTGAAATTGGTTCTACTTCTATGAAAAAAAATGCAATAAAAATGTAATCGTCAATTTTGTACATAAAATGCAAAATTGAAGAAAACTTTATTATTATATCGTGATAAAATAAATGTTTCTTCTATATAATTTCTGTAATTTTCGTCTTATTTAAAATCCACATGTGTTTTTATCCTCAAAAAAAGTTGTTTCTGACTTCGGTAGGCAATTTTTTTGTCGCACATTGAAACCGAAACATTCATCTATGAAGTATATAATAAATTCAGTGAAAATTCACCCAAATAATGTGGCACATTTGGAAGAAAGAAAATTAAACAAAATAAAAAATTAGACAGGAATGAATATCCTTTTTATGATTCAAAATCGGCCCAAGTGCACAAACAAAAATATTTTTGGTTTTCCAAATGATTTAAATGTGCAAATTTAAGTGCATTATCAGAAACAACGAAGAAATCAACCTAGAATCATTCATTTGTAATTTTCCATAAATAATATTATATTATATAAAATATTGCGTATGTATAATATGTATTTTCTTGATGATAAATTTCTTTACAAATTCACATTAAGTAAAACGCAAAAATATCAAATTAACGCAACTAATTAACCAAGCCAATTTTCGTTATAATTTGAATTCCTTTCGATATTATATCATTGAAATATTTAATAAAACCGTATTTTGCCAGATGTTGAACCACGTAATTGGTGTGCGTCACTTTTTAGAATCGATGCGCTGGCGAATGAAAAAATAGTTGAGAGAATATGGATGGAATTTTCAAATACTTAAGCAACATTTTGTTAGACTATATAAATATCGATTACTCTGACACAAATATATTATTCAGAAGTAAGTTTGCAATCGAAATGAAGTTATCTATTCACATAATTTTCGTTGTTGCGGCTATTATCAGGGGCGTAAGTTTTTGGCTAAAAATTTAGTTTTTATTTCCATAAAGGCCCTTTATTGAATTAATAGTTTCGCTCTTTTTTTTTCAAATTTGTAGTATCAATGTTCTGGCTGCTTTGGATCTGATAAATATGATGAGTTTCTCGATGTTACTTGCATCTTCCATCCAGCTCAAAACTATGCCATAAGGAAACATAACTTGGAAAGTATTTATACAGGATTCAAAACATCAATCGAAAATGTAATGAAATCACTCAAAGGCGTAAAAACCGAGTATAATGCAGGAGAGTTATTGGCTTTGCTCCATTCAAATTTTCATGAATTTTCGATTTGGGTGAGAAATATTCGAGATATGGAAAATACAATTGTGACTGAGTTCGTGAATAGCACTATTAACGCGGATAAAAAGTTTATATCAGACAATAAGAAGGTATTGAAAAAGTGTAAAATGGCTTATGTAATAGAATTGAAAGAAATTTTGCTAGAACATGCGGCAGCTTTAATCAAACATCATAGTGATATAAACCAAAATATTGGCTTATTGGCCAGAGAAATGACCTACCGCAAGACAGTCGTAGATTGGATTGCTAATTATATAGCAAAGAATGGCACAACTCCGGAAACTCTGAAAGCAATTCTTGATACTGTAAACCCAAGACTTTTCCAAGCAACCACCAATATGGAAGTTATAAACCAATCGATGTCAGAGTGTATTGCTCATAAAAATACACTTAAACCGACTGAAAAATTGGGCAGTTTTCTACAAAGGGCCCTTTTGAGTATATCCAAACCGGGGAGAAAATGAGAAAAAAAGTGTAATTGTCAACTTAAAATCATTAAAAATTGAATTCTGTGTCTATTCCGTAATTTTTGTGCTTCTTTGCCATCCACAAATGTTTTTTATACAAAAAAAAAAAAAACAAATTTTTTCCAAATACGCAATTTTGTTTTGCCGGAGATCGAAATTGAAACAGCTATTTTATAAATTATAAAATTCATTAATAAATTATTCGTATGGAACATTATAAATTATAATACTTCTTTCTTAAATAATAATGCAAAATTAAACTCAGCTTGGGAGGAGCAAATCAACGTCCATTAGAAACACCTATTTCAAACGCGTTTTAAAATATTGAATTGTAGAACAAATGTAATTGATTTAATATTGATTATTGATATAGTTAATAATAAAATTCATAAAAACTTCTGTAGATGATCATATTGATGAAAACTTATGAATGCTCGATTGCTCTCAGTGAACACATTGTCCTAAGATATTATTTTGTCTTATGCAGTAGCTCGTACTCAGTATGTGCTACGTTTCGGCTTAGAGTAGAGCTGCTCTTCGTTACTATGCACATGAATGTATACACAGAGTCGAAGAGCAAAAATGATACGATAGTTTTTTCAAGAGTAAATTTTTCAAAAGAATAATTTTATACGTCACAAATTCTAAAAGTGAAACGATAGTTTTTCTATCACAGTCAAATTTCTTCTCTAAACTCTTGAATGCAAATAAATTTACTTAAAATAAATAAACACATTCGAGTTTTTTCGTTTCGTGAATTTGAAGAAATGATGACTTTCGCACTATAGAACAAACTTAATGGATATTTTTGGTCTTGCAATCCTATACAGGTGCGTATAGGAGAAAAAATTGCGTTGTGATATCTGGAATCAAATTTGGACATGGCATATAAAATTCAAGCACACATTCCAGTTTTTCATTATATTTACGTCATAAACATATTTAATTATATTTTAAAATGATATACATTATAAATATTATAATATTATAATTAATTTATTCTTTTCAATATTTCTTCATTTTGCATTTATTGTGAGTATATATACGTTGAAATTATCAATATGATTATATTGAATTTACGAGTTCCTTACTAAAATGAAGATTCTTACCAGCATTTTTGTTGCGGCGGTGTTCATTGCCATCGAGGTATGTAAACAATTTTGAATATTCTTTTCGATTGGAAGAAGTCTTATAAACGGTATCTATTTCCTAAAAATATATAAAACAGAGTAACTGGACAGTTACTGCTCAAGTTACTTCTCAAGCGGTTGTCGTGAAAATAGAAGAGGACTTCGCTAAATTTGAAACGACGGTCAAAAATTTCGATACTACAGTAACAGCAACGAAAGATGGTGATAAGCGAAAGTGGGAAGCAGCTCTCAGTTCTCAGTTGCTCCAAGACAATTTGAAGGAGTTTAAATTACCAGTTACCAAAATGTCCTTATTGAAGAAAAACGCAATAAGCTATCAACGATTCATTAATGACATTTATAATGATTTCAAGCAAAAGCACGCAACTGATATAAAAAGAAAAAATCGATCGGAAAAATTAGAACTTGCTGCTGAAACGTACTTGAAGCGCTTTGAAAAAGAAGGCAACCAGATTGCTGATGTCGAGTTTAAAGTTCACAATGAATTGGTATCTCGAATTAAGTATGCAGAAAAACTAACAACAAATTTGAAAGGGACTGACGTCAAAACTTTCAAATCTGTCGCTGAAGAGGGCAAAAAAGTGCTGTCTTTGACAAGTACCAATGTGCTGGAAATTCGCGAACAATTGAAACGCTTCAACTACTTATTGCAACAGGCTAATGCAATTAAAAAATTCTTTGGCGACAATTTAATGCAGTTACTCACTAAAGAGTATTAGCTGCTTTTTATCTATTTAAAAAAATCAAAAACCATGCATGACCAAGTGGATGGCTCTAAGAAGAGACACATTTCGAATGGTTTACATTAATGCCATCTGTTGGCTTGGAGAGATGGGAGAGATTGTGACATTTTTGACGTAATGTATTTTACGTATTCATGTTTTTGGCAAGTCATTTGTCAATTTGGAACGTCCTGTTTCAATATCAATCAAATCACCAACCCATTTGTTAGGTTACATAAAATATTTAAAAACAAACATAAAACAATACACAGCTTTTGGTAAAAAACAAAATAAAGAGATAAAATAAACTTAAAGAATAAATTACTGATAAAAAATATATCAGTCTAATATTTATTTCTCACCATTTTTATAACGCTATTTACAGCGACTTCAAAATGCGAAAAATGACGAAATGTCATAAATCTAAATTGACAAATGACTTGTCAAAAACATGAATACGTAAAATACATTACGTAAATTTGGTTGGAGACGTCGGAGAAAAATAATATTTCATCATTTTCATCATAAAAAAAAAAATATAGTTTTGTTCAAAAATTCAAATAAAATCAAATTTAAAAAATATATTATTATTATAAAGGAAAAATATATTACTTAAAATAAAAATAAATAATAAATATGTGCATTTGTGTTACGTTACATAGAGCAAATTTGTTTACATGCTAGAGATGTAAATTTAGTTGAGGGATGTCAGGTATGATGGCGCTGATTAGCGAGACTCGCATAAAAAAGTCTCCAATCTCATATATGTGTCATCCACGTGGCTGAACCATTCGGTTTTTTGGCACGACCACAAAAGTTGTTTGTTGTATTATATTGTACGCATTATTTTTAATGAAAATATTTTCATTTCGTTTGAAATTTTTTCACCCAGAAAATTTATTCATGGAAATGAAAAAAAAATGTTCGGAGAAACTTTTTGAAGCGAATGTAAAAAATGCGAATACAAAACACCAAATTATGCTACAAAGACCGATGCACAATTGAGCGAAACGAAATCATGGACAGAAAAACACATACAAAAACATACTTTTACAAAACTATAAATTTCAATGGAAAACAGAGAATCCACGGATCAAATTAAATTTATTCGAATTAATTTAAAATACGCTATGAATGGCGGTGTGTTGATCCAATGGTCGGTCGCATTTGAATTTTTGGGCAACATACTATCGTATACTATATTGAAATGTTTTGAATGAAAACAAAGTCAGTTGGTTTTTTTATTCATACAAAGTACTTTTTTGGAATATATACTTTTTTCATTTGGTGATTCATCGATGGCACTGGTTTCATTAATTGCAAATACACGAAGAGATATGGTCAACTATGCGAGCATTATAATAATTATCCACATGTTAAACAATTTAAACATGTCACAGATGTTTTACATTCTTTTTGATACCCATCGCTGTTTGTTCAAACTTTTTTTTATTTCTTTTTTCGTTGTGCGCTGATAAATAGTAGATGATTTTTTGCCCTTTACTCCACTGAACATTCAATGATTCTTGTTTATATTCTCGCTTTTAAAAATAGCATAAATATTCAAGTGCTTTTAATTTTTCACATTTTACAATATAAATAAAATATGGCATTGCTTCCGTCATATAATATATATTTATTGGACAATTTTACGCATTTTTGCACACAAAATATTTATTGCTTGATTTAATATCGCTTTAATTAAATAAGTCATAATTCAATTGCACCGAGGCTACCTATTTCTCTGTGTGGTAAATGTTTGTTTATCCCTTGCAGACTGGCATTTAGCATGAACGGACGTGGAGATTAACGACTTCTGGGTAGAATCAGGTGTATTCAGTTTTAATTGAACTTGTTGTAAAAAATCACTTTTTTACCATTTCCAGTTTATATTGTTCGGAAGAGATAGTGGAAATTTTCCACTGAAAAACATGAGATTGTCAATATATAAGTACTGATAAATTCGGATGGACTTTCTTCTTGATTTTGGACCTACAGCAGAGTTTCCTTTCACGAACAAAAAATATTAACAAAAGGTTACTTTGTTTCATGTTTTTTTTATATTTAAAAAATATATATGTGAATTGTGGCAATTATTAATTTAAAATTATTTATTGCTTGTTATCTACACTAAATGTGGCCTATCGTGTGTATTCTTCTCAGTCGATATTATTTTTTGCACTTCTTACAGCAATTTTCATATTAGCTTCACCCATTTTACATTCATCTACATCTATCAATTTTATTTACTACACACTTTCGCACGGTCATTTCTTCAATCATCATCTTGGTAATTTTTTGCAATTTATGTGTCAGAATAGATGCATATTCTTGGTGTGTTTTAAAGACTTTGTGCAATTTGTTCATCATATCATAATCAAGTTTTTTGATATCTTCGCCACTTTCGTTCAACACATATTTGTCGGCTTGGTAAATTTCAGAAACAAATGTTTCTGATGTCATCCGTCCAAATTTCGAATTGAATCAGATCAGGTTGAAGCAAACTTGATATCAATAGTGACTTTTTATTTTCTTTGAACGATTCAAGTGATTTTTTCACGCCATTTATTGATGACGTGAATTGGGAAAGTGTCTTCACTACGGCGTCTAGATGCATTGAATGAGTTGAAAACGACTCGAAATACTTGTTAATAACAGGAACAATAGAAATACTAGAAACACTATATGTATGGTATTTTTTTATCTTGAAAAAATATTATGCCGTTTATTTGCTTTATTAAATCAAATTTTACACCATAAAAAGATAGTCTTTATTGAACTTAGAAAATTCTTTCTGACCACATGTATATTCTGACAGTAGGCTGACTTCGATGAAATTTTATAAAAAAAGATATTCAAAACATTTCCTGATATTCATAAAGTCATGCACACGTGGATGACACATATATGAGATTGGAGACTTTTTTATGCGAGTCTCGCTAATCAGCGCCATCATACCTGACATCCCTCAACTAAATTTACATCTCTAGCATGTAAACAAATTTGCTCTATGTAACGTAACACAAATGCACATATTTATTATTTATTTTTATTTTAAGTAATATATTTTTCCTTTATAATAATAATATATTTTTTAAATTTGATTTTATTTGAATTTTTGAACAAAACTATATTTTTTTTTTTATGATGAAAATGATGAAATATTATTTTTCTCCGACGTCTCCAACCAAATTTACGTAATGTATTTTACGTATTCATGTTTTTGACAAGTCATTTGTCAATTTAGATTTATGACATTTCGTCATTTTTCGCATTTTGAAGTCGCTGTAAATAGCGTTATAAAAATGGTGAGAAATAAATATTAGACTGATATATTTTTTATCAGTAATTTATTCTTTAAGTTTATTTTATCTCTTTATTTTGTTTTTTACCAAAAGCTGTGTATTGTTTTATGTTTGTTTTTAAATATTTTATGTAACCTAACAAATGGGTTGGTGATTTGATTGATATTGAAACAGGACGTTCCAAATTGACAAATGACTTGCCAAAAACATGAATACGTAAAATACATTACGTCAAAAATGTCACAATCTCTCCCATCTCTCCAAGCCAACAGATGGCATTAATGTAAACCATTCGCAATGTGTCTCTTCTTAGAGCCATCCACTTGGGTTCAGCATACAGAAATTGTATTTTAATCAGGGAAAAAAAGAACTTACACACAAAAAGAAAATGCACGACGTGAAAATAATTATCATTTACATGTCATTCAATGTGTGAATTAATTAAGCAGAAAATGCATTGAAACAAATAAAATTAAAGCTAACAAATGATCGATATACTTTATGCAGTCCATTTTTTCGTCTCTCACTCACTTTATGGACGGAAAAACCTTAGTATTTTATTCGTTTGACAAACCAAATTTGAATATCAATCGATTGAAACAGCACAAACCAATCACATTCTACAAATGTAAAATGTCAGCTGATTTTTTGTTGGCGTGCTCTTAGTTTTTTTTATTCGGTTTTCAGTTGTCTGCAAAATTATCTCTATTATGGAAAATTATTCATGTATGTTTTTCGCTCTGTGGTCGTGTTTTTCCCTCCCATTGAAATGTAGTTGTTTGGTTTGTTGTCTATTAACCGATTTCGTACAAAACGATTCTATTTGAAATAGTAAATTGAGCGAAAGAAACGTGATAACAAGACTAGCGTAACCTCCCGCATGTCACACAGCAAATACATTTACATTCTCTCTACCGCCTCAACAATGTTCCGAAAAACTGCACTCTACATCAGCTGAACAAAAAAAAGTTGCGTGGAAAAATAATGGTGATTTTTGATTTGGGGTGGAAATCTTGTTTACAGAAATGCTTGCGACGACTAAAAACTAGAATGAAATATATTGGAATGGAATCCATGCATAGATAGCTGCGTACAGACAAGGAAAAACACAATGAAAACGCTTGTCTACAAATACCAAACAACATACAGATTTGCAAGTTTGTACCATACTCTTTGGGATTTTGGGAAGAGGGAGAAGAATTTGCTTTTTTTTTTTAAAAAAAAAATCAATCTTGATTGGAATGTCATTTCGGTCATGACGTATAAATCAATATAACAATAACTGTAATGTTTGACTAAAACATTTTGATTTATTTTTACGCTTTGATTTTATCTACATATGTTGTTTAGTTTTGCTATCCATGCATATTCATGAATAAAATAATAAACAATATGGCACTATGTAGCACCGTAGAGTGACCAAAATTCCATTTATTCTTCGTAATTTTCTTACTTAAGAGCTTTGGTTAAAAGTTTCATAAAAGATTTCATTTCATGCCAAGCGCAAAAAATTATTACTGTGCCACTGAAATGACGTAAATTATCTTAATTTCAATACTCGCATAGAGTTAAAAAATCGATAATCGCACCATCTTGTGCAAAAATCGATAATATTTTGCTTTCCCACGTTATGTAAATGAAACATTCCTTCATCAATAACTTAATTAAGGTCATCGAACCGGCTCATTGTTTCCAACATATTTTTTGTCTGAGTCTCTCCTATCTCTCTATCTCTGTATTCCATATCATGTAGTGAATAGTGTCAACATTGAACTCAATATTGAACTAAACTGATAATGATGATGGATTTCATCTGTTTTGCGTGTATTCATAAATGGTTCACATTATTAAAAGGTGTTAAGAGGGTATTAGATAAAACCTGGCCGAAGAAAATCAAATTAGGGAAACGCATGAT